TGCCTGTCCTGTGGCTGCCTGCAGCCCGGGGCGGGTCACAGCCCCCCCCAGTGCCTGAGGGAACAGGGAGGGGGCTGGCAGTGGCCACCCCAGCCCCGGTGCCCAGGAGCAGGGCCCTGCCAGGACAAGACGGGTGGGGGGCTGCCCCATGGAGCAGCACGTGGGGCTCAGCAGCGCCGTGCCAGGGGACAGCCCCGACCCCCCCCGGGTGCAGAGAGAGATGCGATGGGCCCAGCTCCTCGGGGGTCCCTGCGCCCCAGGGCTCCCCACCCTCCTCCTCCTCCGGGGCAGGGTGCAGCCGTGGGGCCAGGCATCCCTGGGGCAGGACCAGGGCTGTCCATGGCTCTCCAGCCCCTTGCTGGGCAGGGATGGGGTCAGGGACGGACCCTGCCTTCCGCGGGCACCAGGGCCACCTCTTCTTCCTCCCTCCTCACCCCTCTGCACCCATGGGCGGCCCCATCCCCAGGACACAGGTGACACGGTGCAAGCCTTGATGTGCTTTAATAAACCCTGGGGTCCCACAACTGGCTGCAGGCAGGTCCCGGGGCCGGCCCGGGCAGTGCTCCCAGCTCAGCGAGGGGTGCCAGGAGCCCCACACACAGCAGGACCGGCAGACGCGGGGCCGGCAGACGTGGGGCCGCGCAGACCCCACAGCGGGGCACGGAGACAGGCCTCCACGGAGGCATCATGTCCCCACGCAGAGGTGCGGGGCCGTGGGAGCGGGGAACCGCACTGTGGGGCGCTCACCCGTCATGAGTTGCTCCTGGGTCTCAGCCCAGTCCCCCGCTCTCAGCAGGGGCCGGGGCCGGGGCCGGGTGCGGCCACTGCACCTCCCTGGTGTCGACGCCGAGGGGGCTGAGCACCACGCAGGTGAAGTTGGTGTGCAGGTGCTGGGCGCCGAAGGAGCTGAAGTGCAGGTCGCGGCGCAGGGCCACCCCCGAGCCCCGCGGCTCCTCTCTGCGGACCCAGCAGGGACCCGTCACCGCTCGCCCCCGGCTCCACGACACACACCCCCCCCCGGGCTGGGG